CCAGCAGAGCCTGGCGAGCTGGGCTGGCTGTCCATGGCCAGCCGCGAGGACCTGATGAAGATGGTGCGGCCGCCCTACTCATACTCGGCGCTCATCGCCATGGCCATTCAGAGCGCGCCCGAGCGCAAGCTCACGCTCAGCCACATCTACCAGTTTGTGGCCGACAGCTTCCCCTTCTACCAGCGCAGCAAGGCCGGCTGGCAGAACTCCATCCGCCACAACCTGTCGCTCAATGACTGCTTCAAGAAGGTTCCCCGCGACGAGGACGACCCAGGTGAGGGCAGCCGGACAGGTGCTTCCCGGCAGTGAGCGCCGGAGAGCAGCGCCCCGGAAGGCTGGGTAGTCTCCGCGTGGCTGACTGGAGATCCACTTGGAGTCTTCTGGTTCTAGCTGGGGACGGGAGCCACGGGAGGGACAACCACCCGAACGTCGACCGACTGGGGTGAGGGGAACACGGGACAAAGAAGAGTATCAGGATCCTAGGAGCGAGGACTGGTGAGGAAGGAGCCCCCCCCCCCCCACACACACACAATCGCACACACATGCACACACACGCATGCATGCATGCAGAGGCGGGTCAGTAAGAGAAAAAGGAAAAAGCCCGTATCCTCAGCCATGGAGCCACCCCTGGGCCATTTGAAGGGAGGGTCAAGTTACAGGGAGGTAGATTGGAATGAGCCCTCAGATTAAGGGTGACTGACTATAAAGGGATTCAGATGAGCTGAGAATCCCATCACGTCACGAAAGAGGTGGAGAGATACGGACAGGAACAGAAGGCCATTTGAGCTGTCCATAGATGCACTTTCTCCTGCATTAGATTCTTACGAGACTCACTGTCACCGTCATAAAACAGTCTGCCTACCTTGAGAGATGATTGGAGTATAGTGGCACAGACGTGAGATGGACAGAGGGATCAGAACTTTAGCTGGGTCCTGCAAATTATGGTTTTGGTACCTTAACTACTTAGAATGTAAAAATGAAAACCCCAAATGCTTCATTCTGATCTAAACCCTGGAGTGAGAAGGGCTGGGTTACAGTGGGGTGCTGTTGGTGGTTTCCCTCTACCTGCGAGGTGGGAAAAAGCCATAAAACCCGAGAGGAACGGAATCTTACTGAGGTTTTCAGAAGGAGCCCAGGACGATGGAGGTAGCGGCAGAGTTGTAATAGGAAAAAGAAAAGGGAAATAAAACTGTTTGAGTTGCACATTACAGAAATCCAGGATTTTGTAAAAATTATGTAAACACTGGAGTGTTAACAGTGGTTTCCAGTAGAAATACAGCACAAACTACATGTGATTGTAAATTTTTTAGTAGCCACATCAAAAGAGCAAAAAGAATTGGTGAACTTATTTTTAATGTTTTTTAAGTAACCCAAAATGTTGTTTTAACCTATAACAAATATAAAATTATTAGTGAGATACTTTACATCACTTTTTTGGTATCAAAAAAGTCTTCAAAGCCCCGTGTATGTTTTACACCACATCTCACTTTGGTCTAGCCACTTTTCAAGTGCCCAGCAGCCACATGTGGCTAGTGGTTACTGTATTGGAACAGGCGTACAGTTCTAGAAGGTGCACGTTCCTGATTTGGCCTCCAGATCACCTGAGATTGTCATGTAAATTTCATGTGTACTCCTCGACATTCTAATAAGTGCAGAGATCTATAGCAGTGGTCCCCAACCTTTTTGGCACCAGCAACTAGGGCTCCTATGAGAATCTAATGCCTGATCTGAGGTGTAGCTGAGGCGGTGTTGCTAGCGCTGGGGAGCAGCTGCAGAAACAGATGAAGCTTCGCTCACTAGCCCGCCACTCACCTCCTGCTGTGGGCTCTGTTCCTAACTGGCCACGGACCTGCCCCAGGGATTGGGGACCCCTAATTCATAGTGTCTTGTCAAAGTACTTGATACCAAGGTGGCACAATATAAATATCCTGATAGGTGCAGGTATTATTGTTTAGATAGTAGTTATATGAAAAAATTTTTCTGCAACTATTTGCAGAAATTGTCAGTGAAGAAAATGGGTGTGAGGTAGTGTCTGCTAGTTTGTGGAGGCAGCATAACGTAGTGCTTACTTAAGAATGCTGAGTAGAGAGCCAGTCTGCTTAAATCCTGGCTCTGCCATTGTTAGCTGGGAATATGGCAGGTTACTAACCAGTCTGCACCTCAGTTTCCCCATCTGAAATATGGAGGCAGTAATATTGCCTGTCTCCATAGAGCTGTGAGGAGTAACTGAGGTTTCCGTGTAAAGTGCTCATTCACTGTAGGCTAAATGCTTAACAGTGCTTTCAAACATCAACGATTCTTTTTACCAGAAGTGGAAAGAGCTGTAGGGGGATAAAATCCTTCAAGATGATAGATCTTTTTTACCTCAGTTTCGCTAGATAAACTGAGTGAAATTTTCTAAATAGGAGACTAGCATTACATGCATTAATTGGGTCCCTGATTGCTGAGATTTGCCTAGTGGAGGGAAAACTTGGAAGAGATGCAGGGGCTCCTCCTGTCCAGGGTGAAGAGGGGACAGAGATTTTAGGAGTTCCCTTATTCTTCAAATATATGCCAGCCAAGGTGGTGTTAAAACAATTGGTTGTTTAGTAATTACTCTTGTCATTGTTGTTCAGCAAGGTAGAGGATTGGGTATTTGAGACTGCCTTTTTCCAGTGGAGTATTTTTTTTAGGGGCAAGTATAATATACTTTCAGCAAATAATAATAATAACAGATACTGTTTTTGCACTCCTTACTGCTTGCCAGCTGCTATGCAGAGATATTTAACCATTGTGGCCAATCTGTGAGGTGGGTACCATTCTTATTCCTATTTTTATAAATAAAGAAATGGAGGTCAAGTGTAAGTAGCACCAGGATTTTGCAAGGACACTCCATTTGGATCTAGAAGGGAAGGTGTTGGGTAATTAAAAATGTCCTGTGAGTGGTATTAGGTCTTAAGATTTAAGTAGCAGAAACTGCCAGGAGGTGAAAAGTGGTCAGAACATCTCTGTTTTAGATTTCTCCTTGAAGGTAAAGAGTAGAATCTCCCCTAGAAGGACAAATTTAAACCGTAGAGTGGTTTGAGCATCTTTGTCAGCATGTAATGAAAACCAGCCCTCCTCCTTTGGAAATTGAGGCTGAATGCATAGACATAAACTAGGTCCTTCTCTAACATCTTTCTTCCTCATCTCTGTAGGGGAAGGTAATTACTGGACCCTGGATCCAAACTGTGAGAAAATGTTTGACAATGGGAACTTCCGTCGGAAGCGGAAGCGCCGCTCTGAGGCCAGTAGCAGCTCTACAGTGGCTGCAGGGACATCAAAACCAGAAGAAGCCCTCTCCTCAGGATTGGGGTCTGGATTGGGTGGGAAGCCAGAAGGAGACAGCCCCTCTGCTCTGCTAAGGCCTTCCCAGTCCCCAGAGCCTCCTGAGGGCACCAAGAGTACTGTCTCCTCTCCAGGAGGATCCATGCTCACGTCCACCCCTTGCCTCAACACCTTCTTCAGCAGCCTCAGCACCTTAAGTGTCAGCAGCAGTGGGAGCACCCAGCGAGCTCTTCCTGGAGGCCACCACCTCCCTGGGATCCAGGGGGCCCAGCTGCCCTCCAGCAGCACGTTTCCCCCCAGCTCCATCTCAGAAGCCTCACCAGACACCTTGCAGCTGAGTAACAGCACCAGCAATGGCAGCAGCCAAAGATCTTCCTATTATAGCCCTTTCCCTGCCAGCACCAGCGGGGGTCAAAGCAGCCCCTTCAGCCCCCCTTTCTACAACTTCAGCATGGTCAATAGCCTCATCTACCCCCGGGAGGGCTCTGAGGTATAGAGTGCTGCTTCACAGACTGAATATGCACACCTAAGGTCTTGTTAAAATGCAGATTCCAAGGCAATAGGTCTGGGGTAGGAACTGAGGTTCTGGATTTCTCTGGAGCTCCTGGGTGATCTATGGTCCATTGACCACACTTGGAGAAGCCTGCGCATAGTGGATAACTCTTTCTACACCCCAGCAAGCCTTTACAGGTTCCTCTGGGTAAGGGTCTTCCTGGAGGGAAATCACTCTGTTCTAGGATAGTACCTGTGAAGACAGAGACCATGTCTATTTTGTTTATTACTGTATATCAGGGTTACGAGCTCAAGTGTGTACACAATCTGGCTAAAAAAAACAAGTGAATGAAGTTATTGGGTAGGAAAAAGATAGCAATTGGCAACTGAAGCAGTAGGAAGTGGTTGGGACTGACCAGCTGAAGGCTGTTGTGGACAGGTAATTATCTCCTGCCTGGCAGCATTCTGATTTGCTTAGAAAAGTTAGATATCTATAATTTTATAGGGAGCCTTTGTTTGGATTCTTTGCCACTAATTAAAGTTTTAAAAATACAGTACTAGAAAAGCCTACTGTATCCAGCTCATGAATCACCTCTATTTAATACTCAGTGTCTAGTACATGGTCAATGCTAATAGCAATAAAAGTACCCAGGCAAGCCCTGTGTGCCAGGTGCTGTTCTAGACACTTGACTCATTTTATCTGCACAGCAACCTTGGGAGATAGGTATTATTACAAACCCTCATTTTCATCCGAGTGCAGTGAAACTCCAAGGTGTTAGATAACTTGCCAAGGCTACACAGATCGTAAGTCATGGAGCTAGGATCAGATCTAGGCAGTCTGACTCCAGAACTGGTGCTTGTAACTTTGCATTCTAGTTCCTGAAAAAACAGGTGCGAGGATTCATAGTGTATAGAGGGTAGGAACGAGCTAGATCACATTTGACCAAAGATTCTGGTTATAATATCACTTGAGATGGCCCCCTGAGCAGTGAGGATGGGCACCACCACCTCTGCTTTGCTTCTGCTATGTTCCTGAGACCTGGGGTGACCACTGTCCTAGCTAACTTGGCATCCTGTCCCTTTTAGTATGTGTTCTGGATTTTTCATTTTTTGAAAACAAAGTATTAAAATTTTATTAAAAGTAGTTTTTAAATGGAATTTTCATAGTTTTAATAAACCATTTGTAGTTAAATTTTTAAAAAATATAATTTATTTTTAGCACTACTTGTTACATCTCAAGAGGTATCTTCATTTGAATAATTTTTATGGTCACCCTCCTAGGGCCCCACAGAGTGCTTGGTATGTGGTGGACACTCAGTCACTGCTTGAACTTATCCAAAAATTGTTCATTGATTTTATTGGAATAGTGTTGCATTAAGCCGGAGATAATGTCCAATGAATTGCCTTTGTACCATGTTGTTGGTTTGGGTTTTAATTTTTTTAAAAAAACAAGTATATTATAAAAAAAAAAATAATTGAACTTTTTCCTGTGTATTTTTTTGAGACAGCATTACTCTTAAATTTTAATTTTGAAATAACTTACAGAAAATTGTTTTTTAAAACAGTTTATTGCAGTATACGTAACATCACCGTTACAATTTAAATATTATATACTACAGTTTTTACAAATTGAAGTCAAAACCCTCCACCAGCAAAAAGCTGGTGACTTGGTTTATTGTAGTACTCGCTTTTTGGCGATAGTCTGAGACCGAACCTGCAGTATTTGAAGTCTGCCTGTAGAAAGACAACCAAAGAGACTACCTACTCCCGTACTGTGTAGACAGAAAATCAGTTTCAATGGATATTATTCTATGTGAAAAATCATGGACTTTTATAAATATTGTTTCTAATACAATTTTATATTTGTAAATTAACTTATAATGTGAACTGAGACAAAAAGATTTTCCCCGAGAAAGTACACTGCATGCTGAGAATCACATGAAATAAACTATGTGGGTTGACCTCTGGCCATTTTTCGGCATTACTGTTTTTCTGTCTTCAACTGCTTTCTCCTAAAGAAACAGAGATGTAAGTTCAGGGACTTGGTGTTGAGGGAGTGATTGATTTTTCATTGGATTTGTCCCACCTGCCCACATCTGGAAGGGCTGGAATGAAACTTACTTTTTGGGGAGGTCTACAGGCATATGAGATACATTTTGTTGGAGAGTAACAGGTCTGTCATTTAAAGTGCATTTCAGTGCACCAGACAATGTCTGTTCCAGAAAGACTGCTGGAAGGCCTCTGGTAGCAGTCCTCAGGTGGAGCTCTACAGCCCTGGGTGTTGTCCTCAAGGGGGCCACAGGCAGCCCATTGTTTCCAAGGAAAGAGCCAGGAAACTGTCGAACTTGGCTTTGTTCTAGAAGAAACCTGAAGGATGAGGTTTCTAGACTAGGCTTTGTCAGCATCAGGGCTGTTGATTTCGGGGGCTGGGTAACTCGTAGAGGTTGCTCTACACCACAGGACGTTTAGGCAGCATCCCTGGCCTCTACCCATTAGATTCTAAAAGCACCTTCTCTTCCCCTGGCTCTGGCCATGTGTGACAACCAAGAGTATCTCCAGGCATTGCTAAATGTCCCCAGGGGGCAATTTTTTTTTCTATAAAAAGTATTTTAATACTTATATAAATAGACCCTAGAAGGGGCAAAATTAACCCTGGGTGAAAACCACTGATCTAGACCAACACCCACAATTTGCCAGTAGGGAAACAGCTCCCTCACAGCCCCACACAAAGTCCTAGGTCCAAGGGCTACTTGAGCCCTGAATGAATGAGGCCTCTGGGTTTCATTCATTACAGGATGAAACCCAGGTACAGGATGGTGTCTGTCTTGAGATACCTTTTCTCCTAAAGAGACCCAGTCATGAGTAGAAGCTACCCGTTTACTGAGGCATTTCTTGGAACAGATCTACAGGTTGGCCCTGTCACATTGGTGGTAGACTTCGATATTTTAGCTGCTGATTATAGATTCTAATGGTAGCTTCCTTCTTGGCACCTAATTTTTATTAATAGACTTCTAGGCTGGGGATAATTTTGATTAAACCATAGTAAACTATTTGGGTTATTAATTTGGAGGTGGCAGAGGGTGGGGAGGGACACAGGCATGAAGATTCTCAGAAAAGAAAACATGTTAAAAGAACATGACTGACCTGTATTTGGAAGTATCTAGATCTGGGTGGTTGATGGATTTTAAGTGCCAGAACAATGGCATTTATGAGGATAAAGGCGATATGATGAATCTGATCTGAACAACTAACTGCAAAGGGCAGCAAGGTGGCTCAGTCCTCACTCCCAGGACTGAAGAAGCTGTGCGAAGGGCAGTTCCCCATCTGGGAACCGCCTCCTGCTGGGCATGGGATTAAAGGGAAAGGGACTAAGCTGCCTCTGCCTGTGAGGTTTCCAGGTCGAAGTCTGCACCAGCCTCCAATTGGCACTGATTTCCTGCATCTGCGACATTTTCTGCCTGGGAATCAGGTCAGAAATTATGGATCTGAGCTAGATTTCACTCTGTGTTGGGAACAGTGCAGGAGAAATGATGTGGACCCCGTGGCAAGTAGTTAAGCACCCTTCTTTCTCTGGGTTTCTCAGGGACTAGGGATTGATGTCAATCTACAGCCCAAGTTGAGGCCACTAAGGCATATTTATAATTTAAAGCAGCTGTCCTCAGGCCTTCTTGGACCCAGTGTGCCATTCAGAATAAGACAGGGGCAAAGGACAATTTGAAAAACTAATAAGCAGGTTTCAGGTTTTCTTCTTAATACTTTTAGATCCTTCATCTCATTCTTGAACTTGGTGGAAAAAGGCATTTAAAACTGTGTGCCTTTGTAGCCCAACTCCTCCCCCAGCCACTTACAGGTCTCAGGGCCAAGTGGGCCAAGCTTTGGCCGCCAGGAACATCGCTAAACTTCAAGGGAAACTCACAAACTGTGCTTCTTTCCCTTCCTCTCTGAGATTCCTAGAATTTGGAAAGAGCCTAAATCTTTGGGGTCTGAGTCTTGTTTTTTTTTAGATACTCTAGTAGCTGAAACCTTGAGATTGTTAATGAAAACGAAACCCCTGGTGGTTTCCCAAGGCAGGCAGGGATTTGCTGGTTTCCGAGGTCGAGACCTGGCGGGCAAGGTGGCCTGGCCTTTTGTTATGGAAAATAGTCAGCTGGGGCGGGTGGCCGGGTGGCTGGCACCGCTGAAGAAAAAAGGAATTTCCTGTCAGATTTGGAAACAAAAACCACCAGGTTCCTACTGAATTCCTCCCAGCTTTTTTATTCATAATGTCAGGGGATCATCACCAAAACCCTAGGAGGCCTGGAGAGCAGCCCCTTATTATTTAAAAAAGGAAACATTACAATAATAATAACTCACTTCTTGGACACTAGGTACTGTTCTAAAACATATATATGTGTGTATATATGTGTGTGTGTGTACTATAGCTATATTAACCCTCCCAACAACTCTATGAAGTAGATACTGTTTTTATTCATTTCACCAGTGAGAATACTGAAGGCTGGAGCATTTGTGTAATGAGGCCAAGGTCAAAAATCTAAGTGGTTGCTGCAGGTAAGTGGTCCAACCAGGATTCAAAATCAGGCCATCTAATGTCAGGACCCACCTGCCCTGAACCTCAGCAGGGTTCTCTCCATTTTGGAGGTGAGAAGAGTCACAGAGAAGATAAGTGACTTGCCAAAGGCCACACAGCTTGCTGATTGCAGATTTGAGCCTAGATCCCAGGCTCCTGCCCCACTGCGCCCCTTCGGTGATATTCCTTTCAAGCATTTCCTTTGTATGCTCCCTGAGGTTGGTTTTTGTGTTAGCGCCTCCTCGAGGACACAGGAGGGTTAGCATTGAGAAGGAAAGTCACTCTTCTTGACAAGTCCTCACCTCCTCCACAGGATCAGCCAGTAGCCAGGTCAGAGGCCTGGATCTCAGGCTTTGAAGCTGCTGAGGGAAGCCAGACACTGGGGACACTGGCTTGGAACCTTGCACTCCCACGGAAAATTCATCCATTGGTTCAGC